GGTCGGTCGGTTACGAGAGATGAGAAGAAAGGATGAGAGAGAGAGAGAGAGAGAGAGAGAGAAGGAGAGGAGGAGAGGAGAGAACTGGCTCCAGCATTTTTGTCGCGCTGTGAAAGGTCAATACGAGAATTTCACTCGTGCATCGTCTTCACACGAGTTCTATGCACCGACCGCATCATGCAACACACCGTTCCTCCTCCGAGAGTACAACGTAGTATTTCTAAACTCATAGCGAGAACGTTCGTTTGCATTTGACCCCTTTTCACCGTGGAGATCGTAAAATCGTTCGAGATGCTCTTTTACCTCAGGATTGGAAGGATTCGAAGGAAGTCGGCCGCATTTCAAATAACACGATATCAAGATCGCGTGAAATTAAAATCACGATCGAATAAATTCTTTCCTGTCTGTTAACCATTATTTTGGAAGAGCTTTGACGTAATCTGTTATTATTATTTATTATTATTATCCACAGAAGAAATTCGAAAGAAATTGGAAAGAAATTTATTTATACGGAGAGAGCTTAATTCGAGGTAAAAAAAAAATAATAATAATAATAATAATAATTATCGATATCCGAAAAGAAGGTTGAAGTATATAATGATTTGATGAATGATAAATTGATAATGGCGCTTAAGATAAACGTTAGCCATTCTACGGAAGGATTATCGGCGCTGGTGGCAAAGGTAAAACGGTTGGGATCGTGAAAGTCGTGAACCTTCACCTGTAATCCGATTCTTCTCGCATCTGTTCCGTTCACCAGATCGGGGGAATAAGAAAATAAAAGAAACGGCGGTTGTACGAAGATGAATCGCGCAGGTTAATTCGCCTACTGGCGGCGGATTAACAAAAAAAATTCCATAGACGTGTAACTGTAGATGTTCCCGGCTAGATTTATAGATCCTGAACAACGAAAGAACGGTACTGTACGAGAAGTGTTGTTAATGTGTCGGGGGGTTCCTACACGCGAAACGTAAGTACCTCGTGAGATTTGCCGCGGTGAAACCTCTGTTAATTGCTTTTCGCACGACCGGCTCGCCGAAATTCGACAAGAAATTTCACAATTCTTAATTAACACGTAACCCTTCAACGGAGAAATCTGGTCACTAAAGTCTATTTTTAGACGATACATTAAAAAGTGAAACATCTTTTCGAATTTAAAATTATTTTAAAATTATAAATTGAAAGAAAAAACTACGTAGTTTTCCAAGAAACCGATATTTCCAAGTTAACGAGCTTTTAATTTCAATCATAATATATTGATTCTTCGTGATGAATCATGACGAACCTTCGACAACAATAAACCTTCGTACAACAAACGTATTTAAATTTATTTCTCGTTTTCATACGTTCGTACCGACCGAGCAAGGAATCTTGTAGGCGGGTTGCCTACTCACAGGCAGCGAAAACTTCGCGTTTTTAACACTATGCATTATCAACGATTAAAATTTACCATTCGCAATAACCACTCGTAGTTTTCGCAATCGATTATGAAACGAAGTTCACTTTCCAATAAAGCTCATTAAATCACGTCGTCCATAAAACTCGTCAACGAGAATCGTTCGCCCCAAGACAAAACGAAATTATTCATCGCACGTTTCATTCGATTCGCTCGATTCCACAAAACAGTGTATTATTTTAATTAGCACCTTGCCTGATTAACACACCCTCAAACATATCTCTATTCGACATATCTATTTCGACAATGGATAATTTCTAAACGAATCGTCAGTCGCACCAAAGTGCGGATCCTGTTCCCCGCGCCCACGCACACCTGTTGCTTCGTCGATCAGGAAAAAGAGGGTTGAGCACTCGTGATTCATCTAACCACCGTTCATCGAGCAGACCTCGCTTCTCTCTTCCGATTTCCGCGAGCGTAATTGCGAGGGAAATCTTCGCGTTCCCATCTTCCACGCAATAATTGGAAATCAGCCAATTCCTCGATCAATCGTGGAATGTTGGATGGAAGAAAACGAGAGGATCGATCATTATTATCGTATGGATTCGACGTATGGAACATCACACCGCAGTCGCATAAATATCCGTGAAACGTGTTGGTCGTCCACGCAAGAGCGAGAAAGCTCGGCCATTAATCATTAAAGAATCCACAAGGATGCAAGGGGTCGAGAGTCCTTCGAGAGTTTACTCCTATGGAGATCCATACGTGTGCATATGTTAAAATATGCAATTACGCGTCGGTGATCGGTGTATCTTGTGCGGTTAAGATTGAAAAATAGTCGAAATGTGAAATAGAAGCTTAGAAGTGATCCATAGATTTAAACGGACATCCGATTGACAGAGGAAGTTTACCGACCGAGACGATGTGAAAAAGTGTTTTGAATAGATTCTTGTATAAATCGTTCAATATGCTCACTATTAAATCACTATTAATTCAATGCGTACATCTGACGTTTCAATGAATCTTATTGATAATCTTATACCGGCTTATCAATGACGTTGGCAATAAAGTAATTAATACCGATACGAATCGCTGTCCAAAGTATTCTAAAGGATCTATTCCTCATCCGATGATCGAAACGAACTGAGATTACTTCTATATTCTATATTCCGTAGAATGTATATATCTACGTAGAATCTACGTGGTGTAACACGCGATTCCTTCGGTTCTTCGGGGCCACGGTGTGTAACGGTAAAGAGACGGCTAAAAGTCGCAGGCCTCCCCTACACGTGTGTGTGTATGTGTGTGCACGCACGCGTGTGTCGCCGCGGCGTGAGTTTTCGTTTCACGGTCAAAAGGATAATCCTTCTCTCTGTCACTTCTCATCCGTCTTTCTGTCCCACCGGCTAATTGAGTTGCTCCGGTCCGCGGCCACGGATCTCTGTCACGTTTCATTTTCTCCCGTCTCCGTTTCACCGTCACAATCGACCACGAAACTGTCGTTTCCAGGGATACGATACGTGTATATATATATACATACCTTTTCTCTCCATTTCGACCGTGGACAAAATTGGATTTCGTCATCCTTAACCACCTGTGTAAGAAGAAGGCGAACGTGTTACCTGTTAACCTGCTTCCCCTCCTCCTCCTCCTCCTCCGTATATTCTCTATTTTTCTCTTTCTCGTTCACTTTGTCATACGCGAAGGATACGCCAATGGTTTCCCCGACGAGACGAGATATATGAAACGTCGTTGATCGTATAATCCGTCGGGTGAACGTGGAAAATAATCCGACACTTATGCTTTCGTGGCCGTGGGCGGATTAATCGTTTGTGTTTTAACTTCCATTCACGGAGGCCTTTTGTGCCGCGTTACGAAGCGCCACGTTTATTGTTCGCCCCGGCGAGATTATTCCTTTGGAAAGTCGGTTGAATTATGGCCGATGGTGGCTCTTCTTCTTTCTACGTTATTGGGGAGACCCGGTATATTATATACACACGGTGGAAAGAACGGGCGAATGGGAATAAAATGGCCCCCGGTTGGTGGTTGCGGTTCGCGGATTGTAACTCGAAGATACGCGATCTTTATTGTGAACGGGCCTGCGAACGGATAGGGAAAGGGAGGAATACGAGTTTTGTACGTACGTGAAACGTCGGATATAAGAGGAGGTAGATTAATTATCTGCAGTCGGTACAGTGGTTTAAAAGGTGTTTAATTTTATACGTCTTATCTAAGTGGTTTCGGTTATTCCGGTAAGAGGTTGTTAAAGGGATAAAATGGTTTAAACAATTTATAACACGTCTCGCTTTTTATGTTTTTCTAGCATTAAGAGCCGGAATTGAAAATCGTCGTTTATTTGGTTCACGTCTGACCATGACGTGGCGCCGTCAACATTTTTTAACAAAAATGTAATTAGCTACAACGAACTTTACAATGAAATATTCCGTGACTCAACGTTTACACTCGTATTAACGTAATTCTTTTTTATCAACTTCATAAACCTCCTCGATTTTCCCCAAGAAATATGAAAATTTGATATATTGCTGGGAAAAATAATTAATATTAAGTAAAAAAAATTCTTGTAATTCCGTTTGCAATCATTATCAAAAGTTGCCTAAAATATATATTATTTTATTTTAAAACAACAAGAACGTAAAATTTTTCATTATACGTAACAAAATAATTTAAAAAAACAATATTGCGATCATTGTGAGAATAATTTCTGATCTTTGTTGATCTATCTTTATATACATTTTTTTGTATTATTTTCTCTACAAGAATTTTCTATTGTTTTTCAAATATCAGCGTTATTTAGACAATAGCATAATTTTCAATTACCTTATCATGTACTAGTACAAATAATCCTTCCAAACTGACGGGCACGATTAATCTGTTCCAGCGGTGTGCAAGGAGGGTTGCCACCCCGTTCACGGTCACTGCAACGTCAGCGGCGAATGCAAATGTCGACACGGTTGGCGCGGTGAACTCTGCGACCAATGCACCCCCTACCCTGGCTGCAAGCATGGATATTGCAACGGTTCCAGTTGGCAGTGTATCTGCGACACGAATTGGGGCGGCATCCTCTGCGACCAGGACCTCAATTATTGCGGCACTCACGAACCCTGTCAAAACGGTGGGACGTGCGAGAACACGGCGCCGGACCAGTACAAATGCACCTGCCCCGAGGGATTCTCGGGACCGACCTGCGAGAAGGTGGACAACCCCTGCGCCTCCAACCCTTGCGCCAACGGAGCGACCTGCAGGGAACTCGGTGAGAGCGCGCATTGCGAGTGCGCCCCTGGATTCTCAGGCCCTTACTGCGCGACGGATATAGACGAGTGCGCCTCCCAACCTTGCCAA